GAACTTTGGTTGTGAGATTAAAGAAAGTTCATAAGCTCTAAGAGCCCCTAAGCTCCACTCAAGCACCATTGTCATATAGATCGTTATCTGACCACTGCTATCAGGACAACCCCCATCTGTTGTTTGGTAGTTGTCATTAGAACATTGCCAAACTACTACCATCAAAACATCAATTGAGAACATCCCTCGATTACCATCATTGAAACATCTCCTGACCACCGTCATTGGAAGACCATTAAACATTTAACCATTGTTGCCCAACTATGGGGCATCAACCATCGTTGCTTGAATAAGCCTTATGACCACTAGCACCCTATTGCGGTCTAATGATCTTTATCATCTGATTATGGTCCTTCTTCCTTTATTTTCCAACCATGATCCTTTGACTATCATCATCCCGACTATGATTTGCATACAATCGTTGCCCGAATATGATCCTCCTATAATAAGCTAAAACTATTTTTTCTCTAATTTCCTAAAAATTTGGTTAGTTGAGTGTTGCGCTACTAGGTAGATAACACCGTGGCATTGAGCTCTCTGATTTTCTGGATTTTTTTAAAATATTTTTTATTAAAAATATGAAAAAAAAAATATTTTATCAAAACCCATAAATAGCCCGCCCCCTCCCCAATCCTCCTCCAAATTAGGTGAGAGAAGAGAGAGAAGGAAAAGGGAGGAGAGAAAGTGGGTTTAGGCCAACATTTTTCATTAGTCTGGATAGGAAAAGTATTCAAACCATGATAGATAAACTTGAATCTACTTTTATTTTCAATGATATTATATTTTCTCTATTTTCCTCCCTTCTGAAATTGATAAAAAAATATATATGATATATCTTATTTTAATGATTTTCGCCATGTAACTTTAGATATGTAGTAGATATCGTTATCATATGCATTTTGAATTATTAATATCAAAATTTCACTGGGTCATTTTATTTATGTCATTTTAATTGAAATGAGTAATATAATATTAAGTGTAAATTAATCAAAAGCCAATATATTGCATTTGTAAATAAAATATATGATATGCAAACATTTACTATTTATTTAGTCAAACATGTATTTTTGGCATATTACATAGATATTAATGAGTATAGTGAAACTTGCATTTGGTGTATAATGATATTTTCTATTATGTTCTATATAATATAAAATGCGTGTAAAAAAAATCTGGCTAGAAATTATTAAGTAATTCAGGTTCGCTAGAGACATATTACTACTTATTGCGTCTTGGAGTATTTACAGCGGTAGAGAAATATATAGTTTAACGTCTTAACATTGTACGAAGATTCAGCACACAATCAGATATGAGAAAGGGTGTAGCGTTCATAAGAGACACTAGAGTTTTTATGTGGAAACCCCTAAAAATGGGGAAAACCACGGAGCCTGGCCTAGTTTGAATGAATCCACTAGTATTGCAGTTGATTACAAATGAGGCCCTTCCTTGGGGGAAGGCCTTGGCTTTATGTACATCATATGGAGTACATTACAAGGTAGGAATACAAAGAATCACTATTGACATGTTCGTTAATTTGGTCAGAAGGACCATAGTATGGTGACAGAGGTCAGAAGAATCATAGTCGGCGGGCGACGAAAGTCGGAAGGATTGTAGTCAGTGGGCGACGGAGGTCAGAAGGAATGTAGTTGATGGTCGCGTAAGTCAGGAGGACTGTGGTAGGTGGGTGATGGAGGCTAGAAGGACTATAGTCGGTGGACGACGTAAGTTAGAAGGACCGTAGTCGATGGGCGACGGAGGTCGAAAGGACTGTAGTCGGTGGGTGACATAAGTCAGGAGAACCGTAGTCGGCTGATGGCGGAGGTCGAAAAGACCGTACTCGATGGGCGATGTAAGTCAGGAGAACCGTAGTCGGCTGACGACGGAGGTCAAAAAGACTATAGTCGGTGGGCGATATAAGTTAGCAAGACCGTAGTCAGCATGCTACCGAGGTCGGAAGGACTGTAGTCAGTGGGTGACATAAGTCAGGAGGATCGTAGTTGGTGGGTGACAGAGGTCGGAAGGACTATAGTTTGTGGGCGCCGTAAGTTAGAAGGACCGTAGTCGACGGGCAACGGAGGTCGGAAGGACTGTTGTCTAACGACGAAGGTCAAAAGGATGGTGTCAGTTAAAAGTCCAACAATGGACGAAAATCCATCATCAGATAGATGTCCAACAAAAGTCCGAAAACCAGTAGAAGTCCGACATCGGGAAGAAACTTGGCGACGAGTGGAGGTCCAGCATCGGGTAGAAGTCTGACATCAGTTGGTGCTGAGGAGAACTCCGACGTTAGATGGTATTCGGGCAGAACTCCTGCATCACTTAGAGTTCGAGTGGAAATTTAGCATCACTTGAAGGTTAGACAGAAATCCGGCATCACTTGGAGTTCGGGCGGAACTCTGGCGGTGGTCGATGAGGAGTTTCTTCTCTCCCATCCTTCTCTTATCCTCCTCTTACTTCTTGCTTCTTCTTGCTTGGGTCCCCCCTCAAGAGAAATAAGGGGTCTATTTATAGTTTTTTGAGGAAGACATGACCCATAAATATGAGGATCAAGGGCAGAGGTGTAGTGGTTTGGATGGACAACTGATATTGAATCCCTTGATCGTGTACCATTCGTCAGACATTTGAAGATTTTAATGATGTCGGAATTCAGTGATCTTGGGCTCGTTGAATTTTTATCGTCGATCCGCTTGATTCGACTATAAGCACGTCATATTTGGAAACTGTTTGGTAACTCAAATTGTGGTTTGAACTTTCTAATAGCGCTTCGTGTGCTTGGCCTCATTTGAACTCGGATTCAGTCGAATTTGGTGTCGTTGAGTTTGTATTTCCGAGACGCTCAATTTGACTATAAGTTTACTGAAATTGGAGTTCGGATGATCCCAAATTTAATTTTTGAAGTTTCCAACTTGATTTTGCCTCGAGATTCGTGCTCGATCAAGATAATTTTTTGATGACATATCACTACTCTATATAGGAGGGTAGGCTTATGAGCTTTCTTTTAAATAAGATTTATGGTGTAATTATAAGTTATATGAAAAAGGGAGGTATGAGGAGTTTATACACTGAAAGGCAGTAAGTGATGACTTCTTATATGAAAGTCACTTAACTTGTGATATATGATATGAGATTAATTCTTGGATACATGATTAATATGATTGAGATTTATTCTTATAGAACTAGCCTACAAGAATGATATAGAAAAAACACCATATGTAACCAGGTGTATTATCTTTTTTGTATATATATATATGACATGAGCATATGATAAATTGCAGCATAAGTGACATAGCTTGATACAATATATATGTGATATAAGATATGATTGATACAAGCATATGTTATGACTGATAAAATTGATACAAGAGCATATGATATACATGAATTATATTTATTTTATATGATATTGATGGTGTTCAATAGGCTTGCACATACTGGCATATGACACTATAGATAAGGCTGATAAAATTGATAAGATCTATACAAATGCATCCTTTACATATGAATCACATGATATACATTTGATTTATAAATGACACGGTTTTTTATATACATACTTTGATAATGTACAACATATATATCAGATACAAAGCTCTTACTTTATGTGACAGGTGTATTGATACACATGTGACAACTTGTAAATTGAGATAAAATGGCATAATTTATAACCATGTACATATTCATGATAGACATATATTAACATGAGTATAGGATTGACAGAATCTACTAATCATGTATGTGGCTACTGAACACTAATTATGAATTACACTGTTTATATTGATTTTCATTGCTCATATGAGATGCCACTGTTTGAAATAGTTATTACATGTTTTTATAGTTATATATTCATGATGATATTGATTAAAGGATTATATGCATGTTGTTTTCTATTGTCATGCATTTATTTCAGTTGCAGGTTATTGTAACATATTGAGCTATTGGCTCACTATAAAATTTTATATATTTTTAGAAAGGAGAAAAGATTCAGTAGAGTGAGATTTATTAGGATTCATGTTTTATTTTATTTTATATATTTTCTTTTTTAATTTTATTCTTTTGTAATAAGGAGTATAGGAAGGTAAAATGATGTAATAATTGAACTCCCAGCTACTATATATGAATTTTGGAAAAAATGAAATTATAAATTAAAGAAAAAAAAAAGATTTTTAGTTACTTCCGCTAGTTTCTATTTATTGAAATGAGATTAGTAGCACTTGTAGATGAAATAAGAGTTTAAAATAGATAATTATTTCAAGTTTTAATCTTCGGACATTACTCATCTGATCTTTATCGCTTGACTGTGATGCATTCGACCACCATCATTTGATTACAATCATTTCTACTATAGTTGCTTGACCACAGTCCTTTAACCACTATCGATGTACTATGATCCTTTGGCCTCCATTTCCTTGACTATGATCCATTGATCTTTATCACCACACTATTTTCATCCATCCTCCATCACTAGACTACAGTCCTTCGACCTCTGTCATATGACTATAATCAATTGATCTTTGTCACCCAATAATGGTTCTTTGTCATTCAATGATAATCTCTGATCACCATTGCTTGATTACAATCTTCAAACCACCATCTCCTGACTACATCCCTACAAACACTAACGCCCTATAACGGTCCTCTAATCTCTTTGCCTAACTACGGTCCTCCATCCTCCGTCTCTGGACTATGGACCTCTGACCACTATTGTCTGACTTCAGTCCTCCAACCACCTTCGTGTTACTTGCTAGAATCAAACCTAACAGTACATGATAACTATAAGAAAGCTATCAACCGACTTCATTCAAAGGAGATTATTTATAATACCACAATAAAAATCAAAACCTATTTCCCCCACAACAATCCTACCATAATTTTTACAGGCAGTTGTTGCCACTCCGAAATGGACCTATTAATTTAATGACTTCAGACCAAAATATTTATATATATAAAAAAATCTTCTTCTTCTTCTTCTTAAAGATTGATTTTGGTTTGGTGAAAGAATCATGGATTGTGATCTTGCCGTGGTTTTTTCTCCAAGATTTGCAGAAGGGGCAGATCAATTCAGGTTGGATGTTGCAGAGAATCCAAATGATACTGAGGAGTCCATTTGGTGCTTCCTCTGTGAAGCTCAAATTTATGGAGTTGATGAAGCCAGGAAACGTTTCTTAGAGGTAATGCTGCCTTCCTTTTCCTCAGAAAAACTGAAGATTTTTCTTGGTACAGTTGAACTTAGGGCTCATTTGGTTGTTTGTACATACATTGGCTAACTTTTAAAAACAGATTCATTAAAAAATTAATTAATAAAAAATGGGGCGAAAATTCTTTTTTTTTTTTGGGTAAAATTTGGGCTTAGCCTGTATATTGAAGATGAACAAGTAACATTACAGGTAAAATATATCCCAAAGCTAAAAAATAGCCTCAAAAACCTGCATCCAAATGCAGCAAAAAAATTACAGGTAATAAAACCTCAAAAACCAAAAGAACCAGCCCCAAAATATGCATCAAAATGCAACAAAATAACACAGTTAACTTACATCAGATAACATCAATTGAACAAGAAATAACAACTAAAAAACTCCCACGAAGTAAAGAAGCTTGGACTCAGAATAAATTTTGAATAATCAGCTCATGTCTTATATAATCAAATCCCCTGGCTGCCCGAAGACCGTCCGAGGGGGCCAGCAGTGGGAGTTTCATCATTGTCCAAGGCTTATTCGAAGGCAGCAGTTGGCTATCATCAAAAATTTCCCAATCTAAGGACAGACAGAAGAGTAACAGAAAACTCCAAGCAGCGAATGGCCCAGTAGTAATAAACAGAGCCGCATCAGAACAAATCCAGAATTTCAGCATTTTTTCTCCACTTCAAAACCTTTTCAAAAATTGCTTTCTTGATGCACATGACAGTAGTGATATGACAATTAACAGAATTGCCAAATCTCCTATTGTTTCTTTCCTTCCATATATAATAAATAGTATAGCAAGAGAAAAGATGAAAAAGAGATTTAACTTGAAGCTTCACATTAATCTCACCATCAATCCATTCATCCAACTGCAGAATAGTAGGTCTAAGGAGAAACCTCTTAATCGGTAGCATAAGTTGAGTGATCATAGCAAAAGAGAATGGACATTCAAAAAAGATGTGAGGTACATTTTCAGGATGCTCATGACAGAGACTGCAGGTCAAAGGGACCGAAATATTTCTAATAAATAAAGCATCGGCTGTTTTCAGACTACCCACAACCGCCAGCCAGGAATAACATGAGAATATCACAGCAAACTTATGGTGCCAGATAATGTTATCCCAAGCACACTTAGGATAAAGAGAGTAAAATTCAGAAACGAAAGAACTGAATTTCCCATCACCAAACTTATCCCAAAACAAACAAGGTCTAGAGTATTCAAAAATAGGGATAGCAGAAATTAAATTTCTAACAATAGAAGACACAAAATTCGGTATAGTCCAAGACATACTCGAAATAATAGCCTTCATATGGGAATTAATGTGATAAGCATTAAGTACTGAAATACCGTCATTGCAACTTTCAAGCTTACTATTATGATACCAGTGATCCCAGTGCAGCGATATAGGAGCAGATGATGTGATGTTAAAGTGGAACTTTGCCTTTGTTGCATTCGCAGTTCTACAAACAGGGAGCCAGAACGAGGAGGAGCTTGGAGAGGGAGGTCTCCAAGGTGAGGTATATCTACTAAACAACAAAGTAGAAAGTGGAGATTTTACATTTAAATTCTGAGAATAAGAGAACAGTGAACAGCATATTGAAGAGCTTGTAAAGAAGGTAAACCAAGCCCCCTATTCTGCTTGGGAGCATAGCATTTATCCCAAGAAACCATATGCAGTTTTTGCCAGCAGAGTGATCACCAAAAAATAAAAATTTGGAACAAATTTTCTTAAAAAATTTGAAAACATATTTAGGTATTATAGAGCCTCGAATCCATTAAGCAATCGAATTAAGAATAGTATATCTTAAGAATTGCAAGTGACCCGCAAAGGAAAGCAGATTAGCTTTCCAACCAGAAAGTTTTTTAGATGTACTTTCCATGAGAGGCAAAAAATCAGTAACCTTTAACCTTTTGAAAGGCAGAGGAATACCCAAATAAGCAATTTTCTCACTGATAGAGGGAATGGAAAGAGCTTGGCAGATGGCATCCGGATTTAACAAGTTTCTAGGCAACAAAATAGAACTTTTATCAAGGTTAACATGAAGCCCAGAGGCATTGGCAAAGGTTCTGAGAATATTTGTTAGAGAGTTGCAATTTTCCGTAGTGGCTTCCCCAAAGATGAGCACATCATCCGCATAGAAAAGATGGGTTAAGGTGAATCCATCAAAAGAGATCCCTTTAAAAGAACCAGCATCTAACAGATTTGAGAAAGCATTCATGACCAAATAAAAAAAGGTAAGGGCTAAGAGGACACCCTTGCCTAAGCCCAGCCGAGATTGAGAAAAAACCTTCAAGAGATCCATTAATCAGTATGGAGAAAATCACATCAAAGATACAAGTTTTAATCCAACCCACGACTGAAAAAGGAAAGCCTTTTTGCTTCAATCTAGCAGGCAATAATTCTCTTGATACCGTGTCGAAAGCTTTATGGATGTCTAATTTTGCACAAAAATATTTGCTCCTTCCTATTTTGCGAATATAGGATATAATTTCATTAGCAAGCAAAATATTATCCGTAGATACACGTGATTTTATAAATCCAGATTAGTTGTCTTTAACAAGCATTGACATAATAGGCTTAATCCGGTTAGCAAGAACCTTAGCAATAATTTTATAAAAAGTATTGCATAGCGCAATAGGCCTAAAATCTGACGTAGACTCTGCATTCTTAAATTTGGGGATAAGAGCAAGGACAGTTGCTTTTATCCCACTAGGCATGTACCCTTTAGAGAAGAAGGATCTTACAGCTTTAGTCACCATAGGCCCAATAATATGCCAAGCCGATTTATAAAAGTGAAAATTGAAACCATCCGGACCCGGAGAGGATGTCGAACAACCCATGAAAATCACCTTTTTAATTTCCTCATCAGAGACATAATGAGTAATGCTATTGAACAAAGCATCAGGAAAACTAGTGCCAATAGGAAAAGGCCAATATCTGAATTCGAAGGAGGGGCCGGATTGTAAATGCGTTGAAAGTGAGTAACAATAGAGTTAATCACTTCACCTCTATCAGAATAAGGGGAGGAGGCAAAAAGATTGACAGCCGCATTATTTCTTCCATGCCTACACCGAATTTTTGCAAAAAGGAACTTAAGGTCTTCCTCCCCATTTTTTAGCCACTTAACTTTAGCTCTTTGAATAACCCAAGTGGCAAGAATACTAGAAAAATTCGCAATATTTTGATTGATACCTTTCAAATTGGCATTAAGTGAGCTATCATTCGGTGAGGCATGTATATTCTCCAAACATTCCAATTGTTGTTTATGTAAAGCATCAAGATGAGAATTAACCAGTGAGGAGGAAGCCCACGGTTCGAGTTTAATAGCAACCCTAAGGCATTTTAGAGTGCTATAGAAGTGAGAAATAGGATTACCCGAGGAAGGCTCAGAGATAGCCTGTAAGAGTAGAGACCAGTACTTTTCAATGTTTGTCCAGTAGTTTTTAAAAAGGAATCTATGATGAACTTGCAAAGTAATCCCAGAATGCAAGACCACTGGAAAATGATCAGAGCAAGAAGGGCTCTGAAAGGAACAGTAAGATTTTGGATAATATTCCAGCCAGGCACTGTTAACCATGGCCCTATCCAACTTGATATGAATTGGCGAATCAGAGCATTGATTAAACCAAGTAAATTTACAACCCACAGATTGAAGATCCAAGAGACTATTAGCAAAAATCAAAGCATTGAAATTCGCTAAAGCATTTGGGGAGATAGCCGTTCCCCCTAATTTTTCAGAAGCAAAGCGGCAACAGTTGAAGTCCCCAATAAGAAGCCAAGAGACTTGATGATGCGGAGCAACCTGAGCAATTTGTGACCTAAGGGATTTCCTATCTGCAATGCTATTAGAGGCATAAATAACAGAGAGTTGAAAAGAAGTAGAGGGAGTTACCATAATAGTATTAGAGACAAGTTGAGCCGAAATAAAAGAAGGCACAAAATTCAATTTTTTGGAGTTCCACTTCACCCATATACGTCCAGAAGAGGAGCAATCAAAGTTATTTCAACTTTCTTCATTTGGACAAATGACATGAGAGGTCTCAAAAAAGGATCCAAAAGAGAAGAGGAGTGAATCATGTTCTCCAATATACACAGCAGGTCCAGCTTGAAAGAGTCAGACAATCGTTTGCAACACAGAACTTTATCAGGCCGGTTAAATCCCCTGATATTCCAAGCAGCAATGGAAGGTAAATACATTAAGAAACCTTAGATCCAGAGGGTTTTTTGGCATTTTTTTCCTCTTGCCGATTTTTTGGTCAAATTGATGTTGTTGTTTTGTTGTACCTTTATTTTTTCCTTGCTAGGGATAGAAACATGTTCCCCTTCAAAGGAAGAGTCAAGATGAGTGCTGCAGTCCGAATGTTCATTAAGATTCAAGAACATTGAATTTATTGGGAGAGATGAAACCCGAGGAAGAAGCCACATTTAAATGAAGTGGGAGCTAGTAGAAGAAGGAGTCTCTCCTAGAGTTGGAGAGTTTAGATTAGGCACATTAGTTGACTCTTTGAAAATATTGGTGCATAATTCCTCTGGGAAATCCTTCGAGGAAGGCAAGACCGAACCAGGAGAATGAATGTCAGTGGTAGGTTTTGGAGGAGGTGAGTGAGGTTGATAATGTAACACTTGTCCTATAGAGTTCTTAGGTGGAGATTGTGGAGGGATAGCAGGTAGAGAAACAAGATTTTGTTTTAAGCCAGAAAGAGGCTTACTTGGAGCTTCTTCCCCCGGAGCCTGAGAAGAGTTGCGATTCTTAGGATTACGACTGAAGCTTCTACCCCGAGGAGGACGTCCAACCGCAGAAATTTTTTGGGAATGTCTAGGTTCATCAGCTTTAGGTTTAGTAGGACAGTAGGAAGAGTATGGACCAGAGAATTACAATGCTCACAAGGCGTGGGCCTCCATTCATATTGCACTTTCAACCCAACAACATCTCCATCCAAAGAAACAAAAATTTCCTCCGGGTATTTCGCCGTGTTACCCACCAAAACACAGACCCTAGCAAACGTAAGGCGTATTTTTTGGTTAGTGAGAGAATCGGCAGCAAGAGGAACACCGACTTTGCTGGCGATTCGCGAAATACCTTCCGAATTCCAGAAAGCCAAAGGAAGTTCGTGGATCTTAATCCAAATAGGGACCGAAAAGAAGTTTTCACTCCTAGGTTTAAATTTAGGATGCCATTTTTGCAAAACAAAAAGCTTACCTAGTAGAAACCAAACACCCCTGGACCAAGCCATCTCCAAATCCTCCAGACAGGTAAATTTGATAAGAAAAAATCCCTCACTAAGTGATAATAATTTGATCGAACCTTTGAGAGACCATGTTTTTTTAGGGCGCCAAGCAAAGCTTCGTAGAAAGGTCGGCGACCTATCGAGTATCCCACTAAACAAAGACTCCAGTCTTCAGCACCTTTGCTAAGCTTATCCCCAGAGAAAGGAATGATATCCGGTTCTGAGGGGAAGTTGGAAAGTTGGAGGTCATTCGAGGAAGCAGGAGCGGAGTCCATCGGACCAAAAGCAGCAAGCCAGTTACGTTGAGGAGGGGAAGCTCCTCGGACAAGAGAAACGAGCGGAGGAAAGTCCTCCAGAGTGTGAGAGGAATCCATAAGGAAGAAGAAGAAGGAAGGAGGAAGCCTCCGACAGCGCCTGAGGAGAGGGAGTGAAAACGGTGCAAATCAGCTGGAGGAAGAAACCCTAGCAAAGCCGCCCCCTCGAAAAGTCGTGAAAATTCAATTTTAAAAATAGACATATTGGCATTTGTTGTTTTGATTAGACATTTAAATAAAGTTGTTATAGGAAAAATAACTTTTTTTTTAAGATGTTATAGATGGTATCTTCCTTGCACTAAAATTTTGTGAAAGCAGCGAGAAAGAAGTAGCCAAACGGAATTTTAGTTGAGGTTTGAAAAGCATAGAAGTATGGCCTCATTTGTTTGGGCTTAATCAAGTCTTTTCTGGTTCGAATGGGGAAAACGGTTACTTTTCTCCTGTTTGTTAACACGGCTTTTCTAAAATACAATTTCCTAAAACTCTAAATTTCTGCTGATCTAATGGAAAAAATTATCGCTTAATCCGTTTAATACCTGAGAAACGAAATGAAAAAATCAAATTTAGGTTTGCATAAGCGTAAAAAAAACATTTTAACCAAACAAGTATCAGTTTTTTTAAATTATTTTCTTAAGAACTCTGTTTCTTCAATTACTGTTTCTTTACCAACTTATGTATAAGGAGTGCAGGATCCAAACAAGGCCTAAAAAATTTGTCCCAAAATAAGCCTTAACTGGATAATCCATTTCAGTCTTTAGGCTCATATTTGTGTGAATACTTATTCTGTGGAATTGTATATGAGATCTAACACCTCGATTTTCCTTCAACCAATGCTCAGGTTGGCCCAGATTCTCGGCTTGTCATGCGTGAAGTCTATAATATGTTTAAAGATGGCGGGGACCCTCAGAAGGTTAGTGCAAAAAGCTGTATCAAACATTTGGGCAGCTTTCTTACTGCTTCTTAAAGCAGTTTTCTGATAAAAAATTAAAATTTTTATACTAAAAAATTATTTTAAAAAGTAATAAAAAAGTTGGATAAATGAACAATTGCTCATTAGGAAAGTTTCATTTCTTCCTCGTGAATTGAAGCTGGCATAATATCATGAAAGAGATTATTGCATTATCTACCTGCAGTTCTTGTAATGCGTTTGTCAACCTATTCAGCTTGTTTCAACTTTTTCAAACGCTCGCAAAATTGAATGCTTTTATGCTTCTCTCTATGCTGGTCTCTATTATGAGTCTCAGGTGAGTAATTATCTCTGTTAGTAGACTTGTTATGCTTTTTATTGTTCCTTGTTCAACAATGGAGAGATTATTACGTGCCATGTTCGGACCGTTCGGAGGTGAATTCGGACACGCCACATCACCAGTATGCACTGGGCCCTGGGTAATGTGGCACGTCCGGATTCACCTCCAAATGAATCCGGACGCCGCACATAATAATATTCCTCAACAATGACACATTTTTATTGGCAATTTGTATCATCACTTCAACAGAATGAAATGGACGCTGCCAAAGTTCATATTGTTGCAGCCTGTCAGACTCCATATGGATCAGAGTTCATACCATCTCCCTTTTTTTTTTCTTGTTTGAGGAAGTCTTTCACTTGTACAGGTTTTTTATATCAGCTTCCAACGGTCTTTGTTGCAGGTCTGATGATTATATGGCCGCCCTAGCAAAAGTTCACTGCTCTTGCCGAAACTGGAGTATCAACTGAAGCTTTCTGCCTTCCAATGAAAACCTTGAAGATTGGAGTTTTTGTAAGAATCTATAAGAAGAAATTTTGATGAAAGCCATTGCTTTTTAATTATATGTGGTGATTATTGAGTTGGTTAAGATTAATTAAGCTTCTAAAGCTCTGAAGTACTCTACATTGTGCAATCTCATTAAGCTTAAATGTTGCATGAGCTGAGTACATATAAGAGATGAGTGTAACATAAAGATTGCACTTTGAAGTGGCACCATTAAATATGATCATGCTTCTGCTACTACATTTTAATACTCTTGAATTAGGTGTCTCTTAGCCTTGAATGTTATAATGATAAAATTTAGCACTAGGAAAAAAATGTTGCAATAGAAGATTGATCATCTTTATCATCTCAAAAAGTACACCCTCAACTTATGGCTTCATTTTTGTGGAATTCTTCCTGCAACCTAGAAGATAACTTTCATTTGATTCCCCAAACTATGATGCTCCATCAAAATTATTGAATTCAACACAATCTGTAACAACATGAAATTCTGAAAATAATTTAAAATGAAAAAAATGGAATTTTTATTTGAACTGGAGCGTAGTGGCATTAATCTTTTGAGTGTGGTGTCGTTAGGCCTAAAGCGCATTGTTTTTTTAGTACTTATAAACAATTACAAATGTTTTTTTTTTCAGTGAAGGGAGGAGAGAGAAAAAGAAATATAGATTTTTTGTCTCCGAATCATTTTGCTGCTTTAACAAAAATTGTTCAGATCAAGTTAGGTGACTCTAATCCCAACTTTGTTTTCAAAGATTTTGATTTTGATCGTTAAATTCTCCTCAAAACTAATTTTATTGTTTTTTTCCTAGCTTTATTGAATTTTTACCTCATATCTTTTTGTATGGTATCGTACTGATTATCCTGGACATTTTGCCTACAACATTTATGAATTTTATTTGGTAAAATAGAAGTTATTGAATTTTTTTATGATTTATGTTACAAAAATTGAGTATTTTTATTTAAGCATACTGTTAATACAAGTATTGAGAATGAAAATGGATTTCTGATTGGGTAATGGCTAAGCGTTGTTATCTTGTAATACTATGATAATAATATGTGAGGATAATTAAAAGCTGGTTTCACTGATGTTGGATGGATATTAATGTCATGTACATGATGGTGGATTGATAGACTTTCCTTTAAATACTGTAGTTTAGAACATTGGATGGATATTAATAGCATGTACAAGATGGTGGGCTGATGGACTTTCTTTTAAATATTGTAGTTTAGTATTATCTTCTGCTAGTTTATGTGATACTTATTAGGAGTGATAAGAATATGATTACTATGCCAATGGGTAAATGGTGATGACTTTGTTTACTAAGCCAACGGAATACTTATACGGATTACTTCTTATTGGAAAAACAGCACTTAAACTATAACTTCTTACTTATTTAGTGTGACTAATGAAATGTATATTATTGATTCATTATTATTGTTATTGTGCAATGTTATAACTTTAATGTTCTACTTATTGGTTTGCTATCACTCTATAGATTTATTGTTACTGCATTGCTTTTCTAATATTGTTACAAATTTTACGAACAACATTGTATTGATATTTTGTTATTTATACGGACATCGATATTATTTGATGCTACTATTGATTTATTGTACTGATACTGAGCATGTGATATACTGAGTATGTGATTAAGATACTGATATAAAATAACTAGATATCATGTGTACATTATTATAGGATTTTACTGCAATGATATGATTCCGATAGTCTTTACTGATGTTTTGATTTTATTGTTTTATATGATTTTTTTACTGATTGACAGTACTAAAAGACAACTATTTTATCGATTCAACACCAATATTAATTTATTAGTTTTCCCAATATAGTGCTTTATTAGCTTGCTATAAACTTTACTACTATTGCATGTGCATCTTATTATTTTTGCATCAATTCATGATCATATGACTTCTACTGCTACAAATTAATTGATAACATGCATAATGCTATTTATCGTGCTTTGAGTTAGTTGTAGGATTGGATGACCTGTTTGGCTCATTATATGTGATTTAAATAATTTCAAGTCAAGGCAGAGGATCAGGTGTGTGAGATTGATCAGATCAAGATTCTCATGGTTTACTGTTAGCTTATTTCTTTTTATCTTTTAACTAATTTTTATACTCATGACTGCTGATGATAGATTGTAATTATAAGATTTATGAGTATTATATATGATCTTTGGGTCAACAAATATAGATGTATATGCATGTTCCGATCAATAAAATGTATTTTCGTTGATATATAATTTTATTACAGATAAATGAAATTAGGTAGTTCTAGTAGTTGTATATCAAAAGATAAAAAAACAATTATTTCAAATTAGATTATGGGGCGTCATAGAATCACTCAATGTTGAACTCTACAATATAAAATTGGAACTAGAGCTACAATAGAGGCTTTGGGGACACTAAGCCTCACTGGACTAGCCTAATAACACAGGCCTAATAAAATAAATTACCTAAAAAATTACTTACATTTATGTTAAACCTACCCTAATACTTGTGATCTATCTTCTGCCTCCAGCCTCTCATTTACATCTATGCCCTTTTCCAATGACATCTACACTCTGGCTGCCAGTTACTTGAACCTAAATAACACAGGCCATATTTTACTATGTTAATATATAAAATCCAATCAATACCTCTCTCTCTCTCTCTCTCTCTCTCTCTCTCTCTCTCTCTCTCTC